AAGCTAATTAACTCCCTCCATGGTTGCCTTTGGTCCCATAAGCAGGAAGTAGTAGGCGTCAATGTTTTGAACATTTTTTAACTCTTTTGACTATACTTCACAGCTCTGCCTACCCTTATGCTACAATTCCTAGCTCTGTGATAATCAATGTATTTTCTGAGTAATAAAGGGAATTCTGCACAATGGGCCTGACAATTCAGAAAAGAATAAATATACATGGCTGACAATGTTCCACCTCACCAAGAGTGTCAGAGAAATGCAAACTAAAAGAGCAAAATTCCATTTGTACTTAATAAAATCATAATGCCTTTTGTTTTCCTTCTTTCTTTTCTTTTAATAAACTGGTCAATGCTGGTGAAGGTGTGATGAAATGCTAAAGAGGGAGTCGTCTGCTGATGGGAGTGTAAACTGCCAAACCATTTTTGGTAAGAGATTTGGCAATAAGTATCAAGAACCATAAAGTGCTTCTATACTTGACTTGGTGATTCCAGTTCTATAAATCTATAATAAGAAAATAACACTAAAGACCAAAAAGTCTTTATACTAAGAAAATAATGCTAAAGACCAAAAAGTCTTTACGTCCAAAGAGGCTTTGGCTACAATCTAATATCCGAATACAAAGGACTGAAGAAGTAAATTATCCAGAAAACAGTTACTGAGAATATTTACAAAGGGTTTAAATGCACATGGACAAAAGGCTTAGACTTTAAATCAGAGGTTAATCTTTTCAAGGTCACAGAACTCTGAAAATCTGATGATCTTTTCCCCAGAAACAATAAATATATGCCCAACACCCAACCATAAAGTGGAAGAGCCTCATGTCAATTTTTTTAAATATGAAAGTATACGTATTAAAAATGCATAGAGAAAAGGCTAGAAGGAAATATTGTTAAATATGACTAGGTGACAGGATTACAAATGACTTTTCATAATTTTCTCTAATATAACAAAGAACTTATTTTTATAAAACCACCACAGAGAAAAAAATAGATCTAATACTACTTGTAACAAACAGATAATTTAATCTTTTTTTGGAAAATTGTCAGAAAATGAAAGTTTATTGGTTGTTCTGGTGGAGTTCATATAACATCCTCTACACAAATGTGTCTCTTCATAGAGAGAGCCTTGCAGTGTGCACGAGCGCTAGTCAACTCAGATCCATGTCAAGTAACGAGTCATTAACAGAACCGCCCTCCATCATATTTGCAGGGGAAGAAGAAAAGCCAAAGTCAAAAATCCAATAAACTATAACGATACAAAGATGAGGGTATAAACCCGAGATCAGGGTAATGCTTCATCTATCTAACACCATGTGAGTGTAATTTTCTCAGAAATGGAGAATAGTCCTTTCCATTTGCAAAGCTCCTATTTTAATTCCATCAAATGGAAAACATCCTATATTCGATAAGAGATTTTTTTGTCTTCTTAAACAGTATACCCAGTTCTCTAAAATCACCAGCAGCATCAAGACCCTAACACTTCTCCTCACAGTGCTGACAGTAAGTGCTCAGGAAATATATTAACAGAGGGACAGCCAAGTGCTGGACACTGATCTAGGTGCTGGGATACACGGCCCCTCTGGCTGCTCCCAATTATCCTGAAAAGGGGGTAGGAACAGCAAGTACATAATCAATGCACAGTGTTTGTGAGAGACCACAGAGGGGAGAGCAAGGCAGGACAGGAAGGCACAGGCTTCCTGGTGGTGACTTTTAATGGTGGGGGCAGGGGAATGTGTGAAGGATGAGTAGGATTTCCTTAGAGGAAGCAAAGAGGGAAGGGGAGGAGGATGTTTCAGAAATGATGAATGTTAGAAGGAGATGGAAAAAATGAAAAACAAGTTGGGTCAGATTGTGAAGGGTCCTGAAGAACCACCCAAGGAAAGAAATTCAGACCTTCTTTTGCAGGAGCTGGGAGTGACACAAAATGATCTGTAATGATGAATCTATGTGCCTATTTCTTCCTTACGAATCGGCTGGGATCTAACCCTTCAGAAATTCAAGGGTTTAGAATCTGGCTGTCTTGTTAGAGGCTCTCCTGTAGAACAGAGATCCAAGGCTTTCCTAAGTTTACTTCCCAGTCCTGCAGGGTGACACTTACTCCCCCTCCTCAGGTTTCCAGGTGAAGACAGTTCCTAAGAGAACCCCCCTAGAGTAAACAGCTAATATTTATCTTGGATGTTAAAACATTATCTATGTACCTTTGCTTAATGGGATTCCAGATGGAAATTTAAGGAAGGCAGGCCTAAGATACTATATTTAGTATTTCTTCTTATAGCAAACTAAAATTAGGTAAAATAGCATGTAGATACTGAAAATTCCTATGGTGGGCCACTGACCACTTCCTGTGAGAGGGGAAAGGAAGCCATGACATGACAGTATCTTGAAAAAATAGGAATTGTCTATAAGAAATGGGGTGCCTTGGGAAAGAATGTGTCCGCCATCATCTAAAGCATTCAAGCCTCGGCTGGACGGCCACCTGGTGGGATCTCAGAGGCAGTGGAGTGGGAGACTCGGAAGAAGTGTAGTGAGCCCTTTCAGCAGCCTGATGTGTGAGACTGGATTATTGCCAGGACTAAGGAGAGTGACACACATTTAAAGCAGCGCGGCCAGCCGCCATCTTTGAGCCAGGCACCGTTGTTTCTGACTCTGAGCAAAATCTGACAGGCAAGAGATTTGGTTGCTATGCTGTTCTTGTTTTCTAAGAGGGAGATTAAGTTTCTAGCAGGCCTTCGACCCGTAATTTTGCCCATTCCAGTTATGGTTTCGGGTCACCCAAATTTAAAAAATTTGGGCCTGTTCTGGTGTCGCCTCCTCAGCCATGACTGAACTGGGAAGAACCAGTTTGAAGCCTAACTAGAAACAACATATTCCCCTCAGCACTATCACCAACTAAGCAAACTGGTGGAGAATCCATTCCCTGGGTACCCTATCCTCTCTCGGTTTCGTAATTAGAAAGTAGAGTGGGATGAAATATTTAAATGTGTCCACTCTTAGAAGAACTGTATTTTTCAAGTGGAGTGTTACTGGACTGAGCCAAATTCTTCTATGGCAGCCTTAAACTATTTCTTAGGGCTTATAACATCCTTCAAGAGGCTCAACTAACCCTTTCTGACCATTATCATAGAATTAAATGGCTGCCTCAATAAAAAATTCTAACCTACAGCAAGCATCTTGCTGATTTTCTATCTTGTGCTCAGGATTACAAGGGTCTGTGTAGTATGCCCCAAGAAGTTAAGACTTGGTTCCTAGCCTTAAGGGGCCTCCAACAAACTAAATATCAATTATTTTAATACTTTATAAATATGTGGTGCTCAAGGATTTTCAAAAAACTTTCAATAAGTTATTTCACTTGATCTTTATCACGGAAATTTGTTAGGGCTTATATTTTTATCTTCTTTTGAAAGACTGAGGGAAGACACTGAATTCACAGAAGCTAAGTCCCAGGTCACATGGCTAGTAAGTGACAGAGCCAGAACTGGAACCCAAGCTTTTGACTCAGAATCCAGGATCCTGTTACACAATACTACCTCTAAATGAGCCTTATTTGGGCTTACAGAGGAACTCTGTAGTCAGAATGGTGTTTAATAAACATTCATTGATGACCTAAGTTTACTGTAATTCAGAAAAATATTTTCATGTTTAGTTTTAAATTTTAACCAAAGTTGAATAAACATTTGTAGATTAGCCAAAAAAAAAATCATATAAAGAGATATATTTTATAGCACCCTATATACAATCCCTAACTCTATACGTACTATGTTGTTCATTATCCACTTGAACTGTTGCTGTTGTTAGGTGCCATCGAGTCGGTTCCGACTCATAGGGAACCCATGTACAACAGAACGAAACTTTTTTTTCCCACTTGAACTAGAGCGGACAAATACATCCTTACGCAATTTCCTGCTAAGTGAAAGGATGACCTTGACTTGAGTAAAACCTCAGGAATGATATTAGATCACTTATCTCTGTCACTGTGGATATCAACAAAATAAATTAAAATAGGAAACTCCATAAATCCTCATCACACAACACACTTATACAACAGACACACACATGCCACCCTTTCGCTAATTACTGTAACAATACAAAAATAAAAAAACCTTCCTTTGTCATTTTTCACCAATACACGTCCTTAGCAGACATCTTGCCAAGAAATTATTCCTTGTAGTCCCTGATGTGAATTGCAGGAACAGTTTCTTAGAGGTCAAAATGTGCTTTATCCAGAAATATCCAGAAACTAAAAGAGGGCTTCAGTTTCTGGCCTATTATGCAGCAGGTACCCAACTACAGGTAAATCATAAATGTAAATCCAACTCCTGAATAAACAATCATAGAGATACAGTGACAATTTTAGAAATAAAAAATAGATTTGATTCCCTTAAAATTAATCTTAAAAAATATATATGGGAAATATTGAGTACTTATAAATTGTCAATCGTGCAGTTAACAAGACAAATATTCCCTACTACACATAGCTATTAAAATGGCAATCACAAATCAAAAGAAAAATACTTCTTCATACTTAGAGGTTTTCCCCTCTTATTTTCTTGCCAATACTGATTAATTATGTTTTATTTATACAGACATGGAATGTAACCTTCGACAGTATTTCTTATTGCTTTTATTCACAATAAGATTTACTTCCTGAATTGGGTGTAAGTAAGACTATAGCTGGTATGAAATACCTACCAAATGCAACGACACCCTTGGGATCTCCACATTTTGCCAATTGCAGACTTCCTGACCCCGCCTGTCTAAGCCAGGTCCATCAATTTACCCTTATTATGTGAAGCCCTGAATTTGGCCCCAAAGCCTCTCAAATGTAGCTTTTGCTTAAAAATGAGGCTAATGACCACAGACTATACAGCACCTCAACATTTGTTGGCTGCAATTCATTTTTGTTTTTTTTAATAACTGGGTGTATTCGAAACATGACATTGTGGTCAGTGAATGCTTTCTCTGCTATCATAACGAGTTTCTGTGGGGATTCCACACACTCACTTTTGGCACATGAGGATTGAATTCCACAGCTCTATGAATGGCCTCTACCGCGTTCATCTCTGCTGTGCTCAGCCCCCGCCGAGATGCAGCCTCGGGAGAGAATCTGAAAAGCAGAAAGACAAACACCATCAAGTTGGGACCACTGCTTGGGCAACAACCTGGAAAGGCATCTACACATCAAGGGCCCATAAAACCACAGCGAGCCAATGGCACGAGCTCTCCACACCTCCACTACATGGAACCTCTGAGTGACCCCTCAGGCCGAGGCCAACAAAAACCCCAGCAGAAGCAGAAAGCGTGCTTGCATCTAATCGCGGCAGGAATTAGATTCAGCTGTCAAGTCTCTCTGTCTAAATAGCTAATCTAAATTTTCTAGAGGTACCTGCTTAGGTAGGGGGTGATGGGGAAGGAAGGACTGACAAGGGCAGACAATGTAGGAAAAAAGAGAAAACTATGTTACAGAAGAGCGCACTTGGTTAAAAACAGAACTGGGGAGAATTTTAAAGGGGGCTCCCAACCCAGTATCAGTGCTGCCAAGGAGGGTTAAGTTGTTGCAGCTTCAGCAGCAGGTGAGCCTGCGGGGGGCCGTTCCGGCAGGGGGTGTGCATGCCCAAACTGCGGGCAAGACACCTGCCCAAGTGAATGAAAAAAACCAGACCATGCAATCTCTTTCTCACCTCACACCCAGGGCTAACTCCAGAGCTGTGCTTGGCAGGCAGACACCACAGGGGAAGCTGTGACAACCCTGGCCCTGCCCTCCCAAGCTGGAGTCGCTGTGTAGGGAGAAAAGATGTTGCAGTAGGTACTGGCGATCTACAGGATAAAAAAGAATGAAAGAAAATTACTTCGGTCTTGAAGTGCACACACACTTAACAGCAAACCTGTCTGACATAGCAGAGGCTGTTTTCTGTTCCTGTTATCTGTTTTCAGTGCTACAGAGGGGCTGTATCGGGAAGGGTAGGCAGTTGTGAACTCAAAAACAGTTAAGCCATCTATTCTCTTGTACCTGCCAGTCATTCTTGGACGCTTAAGGAAATTCTCTATGTCACAGCCACCTGCCTGAATAAAATGGGCAAACGTCCCACTGAGATGGCAACTGAAATTAAACGGGCCCTGGTGTGGGGGACGCCTTTGGAATTGATGACGCGAAGAATGGGAGCTGACCACCCCCTCAGCCATATTACATGTTGTCATGACTACTACCCCACTGTGGACTGCTGAAGGAAGACGAAGACGAAAAAAGTGAATAAAAGGAAGGCATTTTGTGTGAGTCCCAAGCAGGCCTTTTGGTATCTACTGTCTGGCAAAAAAACAAAACAAAAAAAAAAACACCACCTCAGAGGCATAGAATTTCATATAAATCCCTCTTTAGGGACCCATACACCCTTATGATACCTGGGGATATATATTTCCTCCTTCTAGTAGTGAAAGAAAAGATCAGCAGGTTTTGGAAAATGCATGCTCATAAGCAGGGATCTTACAAACTATGAGAAACTTCCAGAGAAAGTCCTCAGAGGCAACACATCTCCTTAAGTCAGGCCAGGCATTTAGTACCACAGAAGTTATTATTCACTTACTTGTCAGAGACAGCTCTTGCTTTGAGCAAGGCAGCTGTGTAGCATATTGTTGCCGACTTTGGTAAGCTTATATCTGTTAGAGAAAAAGAAAAAGAAAAGAAAGTAGGGACACTTGTAAATTTGCAGAAACAAAGAACAATGATTTTTAATACATTTTTTAATCACGTAAGCATTTTAATCATTTAAGTCAAATAATAAAGCATAAATCAGGGATGTTTTAATATACAGAGTACATAGGAACTTCAGCTGTATCTTTAAGTATTGTGGTGGTGTGAGAAACTAAGGGTAATTCATATTTTGTGAATAAATCCATCAGGCTGATTTTTCATCAAATATATCACCTATTTAATATCTGGATTGTCATACATTGAGCTTATTCAAAGCAGAGAATAGCTATAAGTATATAAATTTAGGTAATAAGTGAACATCCTTGATTATCATGAGAGGCAAACATGACTTCTATGTCACTTATAAAAATTTTTCAACAAATACTAATGTGAAGAAAAAATATTGCCTAGATTAAAAAAAAGCACAATAAATTATTCTTTAATGGACAGATTTAAACCAGATTTTTAAAATTTATTTGCATTACATTTTAAGAATTTCATATTCAGTTTTTAATAGCATATGTTAAACATGTAAAAGTCAAGGGTGTATATAATCTTTTTAAAATTATACAATTTTTGTTCATTCAAACTCATGACAAACCCCCTTTCAAATGAAGCCTAATTTATCACCTGGAAAAATGGTTCTTTCAGTTTGTATAGAAAATTTCTTATAGAAAATTACTCATGAATTACCCATCTGAGGAAGGGACAAGGATGAGTAACAGATTCAGATAGAGTTTACAGGGAAATAAAAATACAGGGTACAACTGAGAGTAGATACAGTCAAAGAGGGTAATCCCTTGGGGAAAAATTTTTTTTTTAAATCATGATTCCATTTCTCACCAGAATAGGATGGATTGGTATTTTTTTAACACCTGCAACCAAATTTACAGTACGATAAAAGAAATACTTTGTTAATTTGGAACAGATAAAAACATGCCATTCACAGGTCCTGCACTCTTGGTCACTCAGGTTAAAGAAATTCTAACACCTGGAATGTCCTACGAGTTTCTTCAAAGGACTGTATATAACTTAGCAAGGATGACAGAAGGATTTACAAGGAAAGTCTCATACTCAGCCAACAGACACTATAAGAAAATAATTTCACAAAAGAAAACCAATCCCACATCCAATAACAAGTATTTACCATCAATTCCATCATGAGGAATTTCTTTCAGGGAAATTTCAATGGCATTGATAAAACACAAATAATCATAGAAAATACCAACATAAAACTGAAAGGGAAAAATGTCTTTATAACCCAAATCTCATAAACTATACTCAAACAAAATTTCACCATCATACGCATAGTATAAAATGATGTGATTATGACTAAGTAGAAAAAATGAATGTTGGACACTCGTGATCTGTCTTTTTGTTTTGTCAATATAAACATTTAACAGCTTCCCAGTGTGAAAAATCTACCCAGAAATCAAATATCTTATTTTTTAGGGTCCACTTGCTACTGGAAGATGATAAAAAGCTGCAGATAATACACACTGTGCTTAGAAGTTCAGACTTTTATTTAAAAATTATCCACAGCTTTGTCTCCATCTCTGGTGTTGCCTGTGTCCCTTCTGTCTTAACCTGGCACCTTGCTGTGAAGTGGTAACCAATGAAAAGCTCTAGGAAGGAATTGAGGCTGAAAATAAGGATCACATTCATTTGAAGCTTGCAATGCAAAATGAGTCCTCACTTGGTAAACTAAAGAAAATCCGCTAAGGACTTAGCTTCTTAAGGAGAAAGATCAGATTGTGTTTTGATGGGTACCTAGTCAATCAAACAAGCATATTTACCTACTTGGCAACTCAGAAAATGATACAACTGAAGTGCTCCAGGAGAAGACTAAAGATGCCTAATCAAAGGTGACCTTTCACACCAGAACCATGTCTCTCACCCCATAGTTGGGACCCATAAACCCGTTGCTGTCGAGTTGATTCTGACTCATAGTGACCCTATAGGACAGAGTAGAACTGCTCCACAGAGTTTCCAAGGAGTGCCTGGTGGATTCGAACTGCCAACCTTTTGGTTAGTGGACGTAGCTTTTAACCACTACACCACCAGGGTTTCCATAGATGGGATAGTTACAACTAAAAAACGCATTAGATTCAGCAACATTATGACTACTATAGTACATTTTCTCTATTAAAGAAAAATTTTACTTCTACTCCTTTATCATATGTAAAGTAAGTGGTATATGTGCACAAATATAATACTTAAAAATTAAATAATAAAAAATATTTTTAAATCAATATCAAATGGGAAAGGGGGGCATGGCTCTATGAAAATACCCCATTAGTGGCATGCTTACTCCACTCTAGTAAATTATTTTGCTCTCACAGTTAAACAAAAATTTACAAAGTAAAAAGCTCTTACATAACTTGTTTATTTAGATTTTGTCAGATTTTGTTTTTCTTTTAACTGTAAAAACAATAATGTCTCTTTGGTAAGGAGATATTATACTGACGGCAATTTGTCTCTAAGGAGGATGAATCACTCTAAAGAAATTGATCCTAGATAAGTTTCCCTTCATAAAAAGTGTCTTTTCTTGTTTAAATGAAGGTTTTGTTTATACATTTAAAAAAATATGCTAATCTTTCTGCAGATCACTTTGGCAATGTAAACCAAAAGCTTTAACATTTTACATACCCAGGAATTCCACTTCTAAGACTTTATCCTAAGGAAATAATCATGGATGTGCATGAAGATTTAGCTTTAAGGATGTTCATTACAACATTGTTTTAATGGTGGAAAACTGGCAACAACCTAAATGTTCAATCACAGGAGATTGATTAAGGTACTATACATCCATAGAGTGCAGTTCCATGCGGTCATGAAATCATGTGGTAGAAAGCATTTCATGACCTGGGGAAATGTTACATTGTCGTGCACACATTCGTAAGTAAAACAAGCTTACAAAAAACATGATCTCATATTTATTTTTAAAAGCATTTATATGCACAGAAAGAAAAAGATTGGAATAATAAATACCAAATGTCAATAGTGTTTATTTCTGGGTGGTCAGATTATAGTTTTTTTCTACTGTCCATCTGTATTTTCTAAGCTTCCTATAATATATATGCAATAACAGTGATTTTTTTTTAAGGATAGATGCTAAAAGGAAGATATCTGTTCTACAAATTATCTGAAACAAATCCATGGGCGGAGCTGGACATAGACAAAAGTGGGGTTTATGATAGGAAGCGCTGTCTGCCTGCAGATCCATCAGCTGCACTTACACACACCATTGTGAAAGTGTGGGTGTTCCTTTTGCAGTGTGTCTGGGACTGGGCAGTCACCATTAACCATATTTTAACCTAAATAATCAAGAAGCCCTGGTGGCACAGTGGTTAAGCATTCAACTGCTAACTGAAAGGTCGGTGGTTTGAATCCACCAGCCACTCCACGGAAGAAAAACGTGGCAGTCTGCTTCAGTAAAGACCATAGCCTTGGAAACCCTATGTGGCAGTTCTACTCTGTCTTATACGGCCCCTATGAGTCAGAATCAACTCAGTGGCATCGTTTTTTTTTCTTTTTCCCCCAATCAAATAATCACCTCATATCTAAGTCTGAGGCAGGAATTGCATTAATTTGGCTTACTTTTGAGAAAAACCATACACTACCTATAGGAGAAAGCTAACTATTTTGGGCCAATTGCTGCATGTGGGTTACCTCTTTGATTTCCAAAAAATGGCTTAGCCAGTTGCCATCAAGTCCATTCTGACTTATGGCGAGCCCATATGTGACAGAGTAGAACTGCTCCATAGGGTTTTCAATGGTTGATTTTTTTTGAAAATGGTTCACCAGGTCTTTCTTGCCAGGTACCTCTGGGTAGACTTGAATCTCCAACCATTTGGTTAGCAGCCAAGCACATTAACCATTTGCACCACCCAGGGACTTCACAAAAGGGCTTAGACTTGGCTATTGTTCTGATTATAATTTTTTAACTTTTTATTTTAAATAATTATAAACTCACAGGAAGTTGTATAAATAGTACATACCTTTGACTCAGCTTCCCCCAGTGGTGTTATCTTATATAGCTGTGGTACAATATAAAAACCAGAAAACTGACAGTGGTACAGTACTGTTAACTGGACTATAGACCTTGTTCACCATTCTTCACATCTATTCTGTGTGTGTGTTGCTGTTGTTGCTAGTTACTTTCAAGTCAATTCCGACTCATGGCGACCCCATGTGTGCACAGTAGTACTGCTACATAGGATTGTCAAGCCTGTGATATTTCAGAAGCAGATTGCCAGGCAGGACTTCTGAGGCATCTTTGGATGAGTTTGAACTGCCAACCTTTTAGGGCTTGTAGTCAAGAGCTTAATCGTTTGCGCCACCCTACAGTTCTATGCAGTTCTATCGCGTGTATACATTTGTGTAACCACCAGCACCATCAAGATACAGAACTATTCCATCACCACTAAGGAACTCTCTCGTGGTACCTCTTTATATTTCTGTACACTCCTCAACACCCCCCACCTGTCCCATGGCAACCATTAATCTGTTCTCCATCTGTATAGTTTTGTCTGCCTACTCTGATTTCATGCTTTTATCACTAAGGAAATGGATAAAACGATAAGGTGAATAGAGTGACTAACAGTAGTGATGAATATAGTTATGTTGGAAGTTTTGAGTGAAAATAACAAGAAAGCATCTTCTTTCCAATACTGACTGTGATTTATGCAGAAATCTTATTGGGAGGCATAGACTATCAAAATAATTCTAAGTCAGTCAGATTTTGTATGAACAGACCCTTTAACTATGGTATTTAGCTACCATTATTACTAAGAAATTCCCTTAACTGGAATCCAAGATGGGATCAAAAGGAAGTAATGAGACATCAATAATTCTCTTACTCACTGCAGAAACAAGGAATGCCACATAAATGCCTCTCACTTAAGCAAAGCTGAACTGCTAGCATTATTTTAATTTTCCTTCCACCTTTTTGTCATCTGTGTTT